CCTGCTCAGCGAGTGGTTGCGATCGAGCCTCTACAACTGGATCACGCGTGCGATCTTCTAACAGCGTCAGCGTGCTTACGCGCTTATGATGCGCGTAACGCACTCCAAGCACTCGTAGACCCTGATTAATAAGATCTCCCAGTCCAAAAGCTAAACAGCAGTAGCGTTTCTCTCAGCTGACATGCCAAGTGACGCTTAAGGTGTGTCGGTGGCGGAAGAGAGCTTTTCTCCTCGTTTCTCTGATGTTGTTTGGTCATTAGCGCTGATCTCAACCTGAGGGACAAAAAGGCACGTTCCCGGGGAGTTCCGTTTGCTTACTTCGTAGCCGATTCAACTTCCCTTGGTTTCTGGAAATAAGATGTCTGCGGCGTGCTCTTATAATCGGATCCTACAGCGATAGCGCACCGGATAATACCGTCTTTGCTAGGTGGTTTTTCAAGTCAAAACTTCTCATTCGCCTCACTAAAGAGCCCTATGGCATAGTCAGTGCTGGGTGTGTGGCGTGCTCGCTGAGCGAAGCTGAAACTCGTTTGCGTCTGCCTGGCAAGAAAGATGATTTCACGCAAAAAGAGTGCGAAGAAGTCCATCTGATTACAGATGCTATCAGAGAAACAGTCAGATGTTTAGCAACAAGTTTCTGAACGAGATGGATATCGCAGCAGCGTCCACAAGTCCCTCTTTAAAGCGTTCCGTTTGGCTTACTAACCTTTCAGTTATTAACTTTTGACTGTACGGGAAACGATGAATGACGGCTTTTGTCACTGGGTTCTTGTCTTGAAGTTGTTTGGTTGTACTAAGGTTAAACAAACAAGCGTTTTCCTTTGTCTTAGTTAAATATAGACTAAGGCTGCCCGTTTCTGTAAAAGATTCAGAGTGGATGATGAGATGAGAAAAAATAGCTGAGCTCAAGTTACGTCTGGGAAAGGACTGTATGCGTGGTTAATATTAGTCTTGTAATTTCCACCTTTGATGTTTGAAATCTCTCATATTTCTTCCGAGTTAAGTGAAGACTGACTAGATTGGAGAAAAGATCCTTAAGTCTGAGAAGTGAAACTCATTCAGTCCTCAAATGGGCATCTGTAGTTGAAATTCTCACTACATAATCCTATCGGTTAAATTTACTAAGGGTTGTTAAAAAAAAAAAAGGAAAACCATTAAATAACTACAGTACGTTGAGATAAATTCCTCAAAGGTGTGGGAGGTGAAGAGCCTGTCTGTGGGCTTTATCCAGGGTAAACTGCTTGCTTTGAAAATCATGAGAACCAATATATTTAGATTGACTGCGTAGAAATTTCTCCAGTGACAGTTACCAGAAAGTTTTTGTGGGAACAGAGTGATAGTCCCGTGTGCTTTTCAGGTAAGGCAAATTACTTCAAAGCCAAGTTTTTAGGTTTCGTGTCACGGATAGAAAAATTATTGAAATATATCTCGTATTCGAAACTTTCAGGTTGAGGATGAGCTTTGGCATAAGGGCCTCCGGTTGCTTGGGTTGCCTCTCGTTACGGCCGTCCAAGGTGAAGACCGAGGTGTTTTCCAGCCAGTTAGACCTCCGAAATCCTAACAAGGTAAGTACTTTGGCACACGCTGAGTGTAGTTGAGCTGTGGGATTCCCCATTGAGAACAGGGAAGGCACGTCTGCATTCTCGGCTACGGAAGTTGTGGAAAGACCTATCAGCAACCACGGTGCCGCGCATTTACCCGAGTAAAATCCAGGGACTGCACCAGCTGCTGCCGCTGAATTGTCCGTGTGGTTTAGAGCTAATCTCCAGTCAGGGCCGTAGTCTACCTGTGGTGTTCATTTCCTCTACTAAGAAGCTGATTTTAGTTACGTACGTCAACAAAAGAAATAGATGTGATTCTCATACATCCTCTGATTTAACAAGTCCTTAACGGCCTTGTAAACAGGCCGCCTATACAGTAATGTCCACGGCATGCGTGCCAGCCATAAAATTTACGGGGCAAACAAGAACATTTCCTTATTCTGCGTTGACGAGTTCTCTTTTTTTTTGTTTCGTTTTCTTTTGTTTTTCCCAGCCGCACCGAGTAAACGATAAAATCTTGATTCATTCGTTATTCACGCCCACCTGCAGGAACTCTGAGATACACGTACAATTTTTGTAGGGAACATGAACAGTTGTTATTCTTTCATAAATAACTTGAACCATCTATCGGCTGCTAAGCGGCATCCTTCACACGAATCTGCATCGTGCTCCATGGCATCGCATCCATTAGTGATCATGCTGCTGAAGTGAATGCGGGCTATCTAAATATACCTGAATATTTTAGCGTCTGTTTGTTCTGCTTGCGTCCCCGTCGAAACAAAATGAGGAGAGCGATACGTTGCTTCCGACAGACTGCATTTTCTGAACTGTAAGTTGATTTTTCAGTGGCTTTAAAGAGCTTCTAAGCTAATGAAATGGCTTAACAGGAACTTCAATTACTTTCCAGCCGCGTTAAGAATTGTCCACGCCCCAGTTATCTGCAGCACCGTTTCTGCAAATATCGTAAACGCCCATTGGGAGGCCGTAATGAAGAAGAAGCACATCTGAGATGGAGCAGTGGGAATCGTCACTTCATTCCAGGAATTCCCCGAACCTACTCCGTGATCGCCTACTGCTGATGACTGCTATTTGTGGTAAGTCACGCAGGCAAGCGCTCTGAAATTTTTGCAAATTGGCATTTTTGCCTAGGGGATGGTCTCATTATGCTCGAATTTACCTATCCGTGGGAGAAAAAATAAAAATATTTTTTTGGGAAGCATTTTGACATCTGTTTGAAAGTTGCCCTGCAAACAAACAAATCGGTAATGTTTGTGCCTGTTCTCCCTGTTTACTTCCATTATCGGTTCTCGGTTTCTTTGGAGATACGACCTCACTGCTGCGGTTGCCTCACGACAGCGTTGTATAAAACTATAGCGTGGCATTAACCGTATTGCAGTATGTAAAACTGCAGGCTGTCTGATTACGCGGAACAGCGTTACTCTCTTTTTAAGACCACTTTCTTTGTCCGAGAGAGCCTGCGTACCTTCTCTTCTCAGGACATTACCTCGCGTTTGCACTGCTGCCCGGGAGCTTCTGTTGGTTCCTGATGCGGAACAGTGAGTCATTTCACGCAGTGCCAAGCGGAAATATTAACAGCTGTCCAGCAAGTTGGGGCCCATAGAGAATGAAAAATGGTTTCATTTAGATGTTTCCATAGAGTCTGGCATTTTAAAAAGTTCCCAGCGCGAGAAGGTTCTGTTCTGACTCAACCGCGTCGGACAATTTCAGGAGTTAGGGACGAACAAATCTGTTATTATTTTGAGTTTATGAAATTTTGACCGTACGTACTTCCGTACCCTGGTTTCAGTCCGTGTATGCTAGAATAACAAAGTATTTCCTCCTCCGGGTTCTGGCACGTAACCTCACGGGAACGTGTTGATGGCGGTTACTGAAACGAGACTTTTTGCTTCCTTCTGTCTTTTCGGTAGAACTGAACAGAAATAGGGGTTTAATTGGAGGTAGGCTTCCGGCTTTGGGGGTTTTCTTTGTTTGTTTTTTAATTATACGGATCAGACGTATTTTCTTTTTATTAATTTATTATACGAACAGACTTTTATAAGCCCTCTCTTACCAGAGAGAAATGTCCTTTCTTCACAATCGCACCTCTAGCAGAAATGCTAAGTCGTGGCCCGAACCACTGACGGAGCACCTGGTGGGAAGGCAGGGCCAGCCCACGAGAGCTCAGGTGCACGCGATGCCGCTGAGTGACCGGAAGGGCTGGATCCAGGATCCGCCCCTTCCTAGACCTCATTTAAGGGCTGAAAGTGGAAGGAAGGTTATCTCACCCGAGATCCTTGCCTATCTGAGGCCTTCCTAAGGTAAGCCGATTCTTTTCTTTATTTCTGTATCCATAGCCGTGGCGTTTGAGCGAGTCCTTACTTGCCTGGGACCTCGCTGCTCTGCTGTCTTCGCTACACCTTCCATCGCCTTAGAGCGCTTCGTTCATGTCACGGGTTTTTGGCGATCCGTACATTGGAACAATTCTTTTCGAGGATGAAGAAAGGAAGAATAAAGTTTCATCCAAAATCTCTGACGTACACTTTGACAGCTCGCTGAGAATTGCAGCCGCTGTCACTGAACCAGACGTTGATTTATGAGCTGTAAAAAAACGAGGTCATATATCTCACTCGTCTTACGGTTTTGTTGCCCTCCTTGTTTTATGTTTTAACTGAAAATGTACTAAAAAAAGTTTTGTTACTTGTATATGTAGCTATATTACGCATTTAAAATGTATGCCAAGGCAATTCCTCTTCATTCAATGCAGCCGAGGCGATCCAAAAGGTTGGACACCCCGTGATCTAGTTGAACTTCTTCGTTAAACAGGTAAGCGCACCGCTTCTTTCACAAGGGAACTGCAATTTGTGTGCGAGTTAAATCGGTATAGTATTTTTTCCCCCAAACTTTGTGCGAGGACTTCAAAAGTAAACAGCCATTCTGAGCGCTTTCATTTTGTTGTCCGCAATAGGACGCTTCAAGAAGGATCGGATTGACGTAACGCTGGCTGTCAGGTGCTTGTAGTCGTCTCTCTAAACGTATCGTTTTCTTCGCGAGGATAAGGAATGCTATTCTTGTGTCTTTTGGGGGGATTAGCATCTTCCTGCATCGGTTGAATTACTCGTTTTGCCAAGGGATTTCCCGCTCTGTGTACTTCTGATATTTAGCACGGGTGCTCAGTGAAATTGTAATATAAAAAGGAGCGTAGAGAGCTGAGCGTTGACTCGTGCTTTTCTTTAAACACAAACGCCAAAGTACAATAATGCTTTCTGTAGAACGCACTGGCGACGCTATTTACCCCCTCTTTTGTTTATCCTTCTGTTCCTGAGCTGCAGAAGATTTGTAAGTTCAGATAAGATCGCTAATGGAAATCAGTTGCTATGTTTCGACGACTTCAAATTGAGCTTAACAAACTTAGGCCGATTATTCTTAAACTCTGGCAGAGATGAAAACTGAACTTAGACCCCCACGAGTAGCGGTGTAACTTTGAGATAAGCATTTATTTCAGATGTAAAGGCATTAAGCTCGTTCAGTACAAAATAAAACAGGAACGCGGTGAGAAGAAGAAAGAGATACGTTTATTGGCTTAAATCCTCCGAGACTGTCAAGAAATTCCCTCTTGTTTTTAACAATTTTACATATTTCCAGTGATGGGAACAAGCTGCGGAGAGGTACGTCACCTTTATAGAGGAAGTGATTTATTTGTTCTGGTAACAGGGAAGTGTCAAGTTGCCACCGTCTCGAGCACGTATCTCTGATGAGATCTAACTCCTGTTATCGCACGGCTGTTTCTTTTTTGCCGTTGTTATTATGAAACAGTACTGTGAATCTACTTCCTTACGGCTGGGAAGAAAACTCCGACAATGACGGACGGTGGAGGGGACTTAAAGGAACTTGAGGCTTTGGTCTACTGCCATCGGACCACTCAGGTTCCGGCACTAAGGATCCCCGTGCGCTTCTCATAGATTCTCTCAGCAGCCAAAAACTTTGGGGCTGCGGTAGGAAGATTCGAGGCGACACATGGAAACATCACCGCTGAAAACAGTTGTTTGAAATAGACATCGTTGCTTGTTGCTAGATTGTTCGCCTCCGTTGTTTTTACCCTTATGTTACAGATGTTCGTGGTGAGTGGTGACGTGCCGCAGTCCGAGTCATTTCTCGGTCATTTGGAAGTCAATTTTGAGGGGTAGAAACTACGTGGCAGCGGTCGCAGCTCTGCCAGGCTCAGGGCTGTTGGGACGTCCGCCTTACTGCTGTGTGTCGGTGGACGCCCCTTTTCCCCTTCCTTTGCTTTCAGTGGTAAACAAGCGCTCCCCTATCGCACCTGAATACTCACAAATAGGGAGAATTTCAAGAAGTGTTTTGAAAATGACTTAAGCTCCGTTTCTCTCCTTCGTGGCTGTTGAACCAAGCAATTCCGAGCGAATCGTTCTTCTCTGGAAGCAAAATGCTTCCGGAAACGGCCGATTGCTCCCAGCGCTCCTCTTCGCGGCTGATCTAGAGAGGGAAAGCGAGAGTGATTTGGGCTCTTTCTGCACACGGTGAGGTTTATATTAAGTGTGCGGTACCGGTAGCGTTGAATTTATTTACGCGCGTGTACTTACAAGAAACGCAGAATGTTCCGCCCCGAGGTAGCGCTTAATGGCGTATGCAGCCAGCGTAGGAGGATGAGCGTAGGAAAAAGTGGAGCTGGAGCAGTTATGACACAAATGGGAATTTCATTACTTAGCAAAACTGTCCGGACACTAAAACAGAGGAGGCTTCAGCTCAAACGAAGGCAGGCATAAAATATGAAGACTGCATACAGTTAATATAAAGCAAAGCAGAGCAGTGGAGCATAATCGCTTTTTTCTTTAATTGTATTTTCCCCTCACTTTTAAACTCCACGTGCAAGCATCCAAAACCTGGCAGAAGCGGGGCACGGCGAGAACTTCACGCGAAGATGCCGAGCGGGTGCTGTCAGGGAGGCGTCGGCGAGGGCGTTGCACCCAGGTGGAAGGGCTACCTTCACGTTATAGCAGCCTTTATCTTCAGGTGCTTTGCCCTTAGCTCGGGCGGAGGTGGGTGCTGGGGTGCTTCTGGACAAGAGGGATGCTTATATTTTGTTTCTTGCCGTTCGGTACGCTTAAAATTTACAGATTGGAAACTTAATTCTATAGGGTTTGTTGTATAGAGAGTGGGATTATGCCACTCCTACAAACAGTGCTGTCCCGAAACCGCCTCCTGCCGTTTCTCTTCCCGTCAAAATCAGCCCGGTTCCGTGAGCTCTATTAGCTTTAACGCAAGAGCATTTTCTGACAGAAAAAAATGTTCTGCTTGAATGCCGCTCCCCGGCTGTATAGCCTGCGCGTGCACGGAAGCGCATTGGTTGGGTTTTCAAACTCTGCTGGGATTAAGAGCTGAGCTTCGTTGAAATTCAGAGCGAGACATTTTGCTTCCCGGAGAAGCGGGCCCTGGGGATTGAGATCCCTGGAGCGCGGTCAGGGGAGCTGACAGCTAACTGCTTTGCAGGGCTTACCCTCCCTTTTCTTAGGAAAAAGCTGCAGAAAGAAGCGCGCTAAAAACGGCGGGCTGAAGAAGAAGCGAGTGTAAGTTTAGGTACTATTTGTGTTTCTTCCCGGGCACCGGGCGAGTGCGTTTTGTTTTTTTATCTGTGGCTCAGTATTATTGTTAACAACGATGACACGCTTATATCTCTAACGGGCCTTAAATTGATATCTCCCTTCTGTACGTGCATTCTCTCCCGCACGGTTTTCAACGTCGGATCCTTGTATTGTAAATTTGAATGCCTTGCGAGTGCGTGAGTTCTTCTTAACTGCCTGCTGCAGGATCCCCTGAGCGCTGCAGGGTGTTGCCGCAGCCAAACATCGGTTTGATGCCGCGCTTTTCCCGGCTTTGCTGCGTAAGAACGGTCGCAACGGGTCGCGCCACAGGTCTGATCTGTTAAGTGGGAGCTGTAAGAGGAGCAAGCTGACGTAAGGCAGAGGAATGTTTCCCCTCGTTTACCTTTTGAGCTTCTGTCAGGTGGTAATTGAGTGCCTCCTTGAGCAGGAGTTTGCTTCTGTCCTGTCGTAGCTGCTACTCCCCAACGATGCTTACCTTTGTGAGTCTGTCCTATTTGCTCTGGAGCCTTTCCAAGCTTTTTCTCTCTTTTCCGCTCTCCTACACGTTCCCCTACGGATGGCGAGTTTTGCTGACGTTATTCACAACGCTCTTTTCTGGGAGCACCGCAGCTGATTCGTTCAGTGGGCAAAGGAGCGCCCCCGGGAGCACTGCAGGTCCGGTGGAATCTGAAGGCGCGGAAATGCCAAAAACGTTCCCCGTTGCCGAGTCCAGAGCTGCCTCCTGCTCCACGCTTCTTTGTATCATGGGTCCCTGAGCTGCGGTCGCTTCCGGTGAGTTAAAAGCACTGCAAGGGGGGGTTCTTCGGTTAGTTCTTCCAACGCTTCTTTCGTGCATGCTGTTAGTCAAAAAGCAGAACCGAAACATCTTGAAGGCATGCTTAAAAGACAAACGCTTTGCCCCGGGTCACGTCCAAACAGCTAACGCTCTTTGTAAGTATCCCTGACCGGAGGCATCATCGCAGAGGGAGTTCCTTCCAGCAGCCGACGACTTTGTCGTCGACTTTTCGCACCGGCTGCTTTTTAGCTCTATAATTTATGGGACGATAAATACAGTTCTAATTAAAGCGGATAAATTTTCTGTGCGGAAAACCAAAGTAAGAAAGAAAAGCTATTTTTCAAGTTTTTCCACATTTTTAGCGAGTGAGTTAGAAATTGCTTGCTGAATGTAAGGTCTGTCCAGTAATGTATGCATTTAAGAATTTAATAAACGTTCAAACAAACAGAAAAAATGAAAAGAAAGAAGAGCTTTTGATTCTGTATTTTTAGTGTGCAATTTGATGAATTTTCTGCCGTCACAAATGCGTTTTTTTTCCTTTGAGCCATTAACAACGGTATTTACTCTTTGCTGCTCGTACTAGATTTTTTTCCTTAATGGTTTATCGTAATTTCTAAACATGAAGCAAAGAGAAACCTCTCGCGGCTCTTAGAAGCAGAGGGCCGGCTTAGGGAATTAGAGACATCAGAAAGAAAGCGACCTTCAGATTCACCTTTTCTCTGATTTTCACGTTTGGACAGCGCAAACGCGGCAGCCGAACCTGGGAAAGGTGCACTGCTTCCTCCAAATCTTGCCTGAGAAACGAGTCCCGCGGCTCCCTGCAAAGTAATTGGTCTAATTAGGTGGTAGGAAGGAGCTGCTTGAAATTCCTCAGAAATCAAGACGTGTCCTCCGCTTAACATCTTAGCATCCGTTACTGCCTCTTGCACGTTTCTCCACCGCATCGGCCTGAAGGATGCTTTCCTGGACCTTTCGAAGAAAAACAATTAAAATCCTTGAAACAGAGAAGAAATTGTCCCCTTATGCAGCGGGATGAAGCGTGTAAAGCATTTCGTCCCCTCCTTATTTCTCAGATTGCTGCACGTCTGCCTCGGTGAGTACGATGATCCCTTTGAGAAAGAATATAGGAAGGTACGGCATAACCTTAAATCCCGTGGTGATCCTTACTGTTGTGGTAACGTCGTCCTGAAATATTTTCCCTGCCGACTGCTGACCCCCGTGCAATTGTTTCCCGCTGTGCTTACATAGATTTCTTTCAGATGGGCCGTTTAGAAGCTGACTGCGTCGGTAGGCACACCACTAACCTGTTCTTTGTTTTTTGTTTTCTTAAACTCTGCTGTTGTCTGGCAGGAAGTAAGTAACAATTTAATTCTGGCTAATCGCTCGTGCAGTAGGCATAACGTTAGTGGGCATTCTGAACACAGAATGTGTTCAGAGCAGTGGGAGAGGTGCTGAGGCACCGGGAGCTTCAGACCCACACGTGCAGTGCAGGGTGAGGCGTGCGGGTATTGCCGGGAGGGTTAATGTTTTGCAGATGCCCAGAGCTGATTGAGATTTCTTAGAGAGGTCCCGCTGCTTAGTTTGGTTCCCTCAGCATTTATTTACACGCTCTTCTTCTTCGTTGGCTGCTGTGCGAACGCACGGTAGCAGGTAGAAGCGAGTGTATTGAAAGCGCCCGTGCGGATAGAACCCTGAAAGCGTGCTGCAGCGACGGGTACGTTGCGCCCTTACAGTATTCCCCGTGGAGCTCGTGTTTACTGAGAGTCGGGTAACAGCTAGGTAACTGCCACCGATGACGCGTTTTTCTTTGCCTTCTGTTTTAATTGCAGTTCAGGCAAATTATGCCCCCTATTTCTTCGATAACGGAGCCAGGAGCACGAATGGGAACATGGCACTCCTCAGCCTTTCCGAGGACACACCTGTCGGTCAGTATTCAAACGCATGCGATTGAAGTATGGAGCCGAAGCCATTTGCTCTTTTGCATGGCAACACGCATTTTGTCATAGGCGGTAATAAACACCGTGGGTTTTCTTCTCAAGCTTTTGATTCACAGCGGCACATCTGAATTGCAGCTGTAATTTGAAGCGTGATGTTTTATTCCCCTTTCCTCGGTCCGTGAATCTGTTCGCGGCGTAGGGCAAGGACCTTTGGGATCTTCTCATCAGTGCCGTTTATGAGAGCACAAAATTATCGCTGTTAACTTTGTCATCCCTGATAAGAGCAAGCTGTTCACTGCAAAGTGAGAGGCGTGGTTTTCTGTGCAGTTACCATGTTCCTTATGTACAAATGGTCGAACACGTTTCTGCTTAGAGAAGAACCGCTCGGTAACAACAACCGTTTCTTTTGAAACAAGTTTAGTTTTGTTTCACCGAAAATTCAAAAACTGATGCGTTCTCAGACTGAATGCTTTGTGGGTGGGCTTAGACGCATCTTCCTTAAACTGTAATTGCATTCAGAAAAATTGAATAGAACAAACGGATAACTATTAATCAGCGTTTCCCATGGGAAAAAGACAACTTCCGATCATCTAAAAAATGATAATGTGTATTAAATTGCTGTGATGAAGACCTCCAGGCGTAGCGCTGAGATTTTCTTCAGTCTTCGCTCATTCGTCTGTAAAGAAAAGTTCTCGGCTATCGTCAGTGGATTACCGGAGCACCCATTTTCTATTAACCTTGTGCGCAGAGGAGGGAGACGGCCGCACCCTGGCATCCATCAGGAGCTGCAGGCAGGCAAAGGTGAGCGTGTGTGTGCCCAGATGGCTGAACGCCCGTGAGGGGTCAGGGGTTATATCAGCTGCCCTATCTGCAGCGCTGCTATTGCTCATGACTGCGGTCTTTGGCCAGAACGCTACATTAGCCGGTCTGTACTTGCCGATTGCTTTACAAACGTGTTTTAAAAGTCAAGGGAGAAGCAACTCCCAGCACTGCACAGAGCGGGAGGGCCAGAGCCGGGCCACAGCTCAACTTGAGGACCCAGCACTGCAGGGGAACCTGGAAGAGAGATTTATCCGTTTCCTGCATCCGTGCGCAGTTCCCAGCATCCGTAGTCCCGCAGTCATGTTAGACTTTTGAGCAGGATGATCAGTGACGAATCAGGGGCACCGAAGCTTGCGTATGGCTGATTCCGGGTGGCTTCGCTCAGGCTTAGTGCTGCGGAAATGCTGGGGTGGGTTGGCATTAGGTCTCGTCTGTGCTCACATAAGAATGGGAGTTCAGGGAGGATGCTTTATTTGGCTGTGCCCCAGCCGCAGCCAGCATCTGACGGGAAGTGCTTCGGCTCTGCTGAGGTTACAAGCTGCGCGTTAGTTACGGTCCCTGGCCCGTGCAGGTGAGGGACGCGTAGAATTTCAGAGCACTGAAAGGAGGTGATGGTTTGTCCCTGCTGCTGTAGGAAGAAGTGCCGCAGCTACAAGAAAGCGCCAAGTTCAAGAAAAGCGCATTATCGTGCTCGTGTCATCTTTTACCTGGCCTTCTTTTCCCTTGTGGTATTTTGTCTGCTCATAGGTAGCTGTGGACTGTTAGTTATATACATTATGATGTCAGTTACCGTAAAGAAAGCAATTGCTATTCGTATGTGACAGCTTGGAATTGCCCGTGTATCTCCAGATTCCTTTTAAGCTGCAGATCGTGAGAGACCTTGTTGTCAGAGGGGCCAGAACAGCAGCCCCTTCCGGTGGCAGATATAAGGACCATGGGAAACGGAATGAGCTAAAGCGGCAGCTGCAGTTTGAGCAGTCGCGCATCGGGGCAGGTAGGGATGTCTGGCGCTGAGCTCGTGGCAAAGAGTTGCCTGTGTACGTACAAGACGTACGTGACCCTAATCAAGGTCTTACAGCGCGTGTGAGATGCTATTTCAGGTTGTTTGCTTCGTCTTACCCCATTAATCCCGTAAGCCCTCGTAGCGGAACGCTGAGAAGAGATGCAAAACAAGGGATCGAAGCACCCTCATAAGGGCTCGCTTCTGAGAGTCCAGGCATTCTCAGTGCTTTGGAGATTTGTTCACGCCTCTCGTGCTTGCTTTTCTTCTTTTTTTTCCCCTCATGCTCCCACATATGCGTTCCCTCCCACTGAAAGCAGTTTTCAGTTGCACTTCTTTGCGCTCACAGCTCCAGCTCCTCACTCCATCCTTCAAGCTTCCCCGTACCTCCTGCAGCTCCTTTGCTGTTTTCTGGCGTGGCTACCTCCCCTCCCAAGTCAGCCAGGGTGTGGGTGTGCAGCAGCAGCAGCGGCGGTTGATGAAGAGCAGGTTTGGGGTCATGGTTTATGGTCCCTGTCCTCGAGCAGCTCATCCTGCCCGAGAGTGAGCTTGCAATCCATAGCCACCTGCGGGCTTGCTGCTGATTGCTCATTGCCTTTCCTGGTGAAGCACTTCTAGGGCGGGTGAAGAAGCCCAGGTGAGGCGGCCTGACCGTGCACGTCCCTCTCAGTTTGCGTCCTGCACCTCTGTAACCTGGGTATCTCAGATAAGGCTCCCCAATCGCGGCAGGCTGCTATGAGGTAAAAGAAAACTGCAGAAATGTGTTTTAAATATCACGCTCAGTTATTGATAGTCACAAAGTGCTTGCAGTTATTTGGATGGAGATATTAATGCATAGAAAAATGACAGACATCCAAGCTTAATAAAAATGATACCGAGAAGCATTCGCCATCTTTTGAAAGCGCGGGCGTCATTACTCCCGCAGAAATCATCACTTCGGATAAGCAAAGCCAGTTTAATGTGAAAACTGGCACTTAGTTCTCAGACGTGTAAAAATGGAAATGACGATCTTTCTTTCCCCGGCGCGTGGAGGAAATATATCGATGAATTTAGAGAATGTATTCATTGGCATGCGCAAAAGCGAACGTGCTAAGCGGAGAGTTTAATGAGAGAAAAGTAACGGCGGGAGCTAAGCAGGAAGGAAGACTTTCGCTCGTAAGTCTGAAGGCAAACAAGTCTGCGAATGTCCCCACGTCTCCAGAGCCCGGGCCTCGTCCGGCGGGAGCGCTGCCCTCGGCCCAGGCTGGTTTGCGTGAGGGCCTTTTGCTGCTGCTGCCAGGATGGTCTCCCGGTCTTACAGCAGCATCGCTTCGGACTCACTCGGGTCGATAGTCAGGAATTTGTTCCCTGTGTAGCAGCCGCGGTGCAAACGGTACAGCTGCACAGGAAAGGCCCCTAACCGAGGGAAAACGGCACCGGTGAATTCAGTTTAACCGTCAGGGTCAAAGCAGACAGTCGGAACCGCTGAACTGCCTGCATGCCTGTACTTTGCGGTAGGTTTGATTCGCAGAAGCTTTGCCTCCTGCAGGATGGTTAAGTCCTTATGAAGCAGGCTGGAGATATATTCACTGCCGGCATAACCTCAGGGAAGCGCTCAGCGGCCGCTTTTTCAGGTGCCCAAGTGTATACTCTGAACGGAACCAATCCGGAAGGAGATCCCGTGACGTACGGCCTGACCCTGAAGCTGGATCCAGGCGCTACTTTTCTGTCGACGGGAACCTTGGAAACGTGATGCTGATCGAGGAACTTGACAGAGAGGTAGCGTGCAGTGAGATGTCCTCACTTGGCTTTTGTGGAATTTCCTTGACTTTCAGTTGATCCATGCCTTTGAGGGACAGTGCCAACTCGTTTGCGCCTGAGACATGTAATTTGAAACTTCGAGGCGCTATAATTGACCCGTCGGGTTGTTTTCCAGTTGACTTGAACTTCCGGCAGTACGATCAAATTTTTTGGCAGCTGAGGGCTCTCTTTTCAGCTTTGGCCGGAGGAGTTTATTTTTTATTCCTATGCGCCCCCACCCGCACGCTATCGAGAACAGATACGATTGGATTTCTTCAGAACTCTGCCGTGATAGGGGGAAGTAGGAATTTCCATAAGCAGTGTCTGAGGACACGTTTCCGGTTACGTCACGCTCCTTTAACGCTTAACCACGTGGGTCGTTCGAGATGTTCCCGACGATAGCGGACGCTAACACAGAGTAATTTTGAACTAATAATGGCGTTCTAGGAAGTATTTCTCCAAAAAGATGACTGATGTTTCATTAGCGCTTCATAATGCGATACGAATTCCCAGAGCAGCCGTCTCACGTCCGCATCTCCGGGCAGCCCATGGAGCACTTCAGCTGAAGGCTCTGAGGGGTCTCCCTAGCCTCTGCTCCGGTTTTCTTGTATCAGTTGCTATTTTCTCATTCCTGCTGAGACGTGTTTAAGTCTGCAGCTCTTTCTCCAGTATGAGCAAAACCGCCTGACAAATGTGCGTCGCTGTCTTACAGAAAGAAGATGAGATTGAAGTTATCGTCAGTATTTCAGACGGCCTGAGTACAGTAAGTATTAATTCTACTCTAACTTGACAAACGCTCACCCTGCAGTTGCGCCTCCTTTCATTAAATTACTTTTCAGGGACTATCTGGTTTTATCAGAAAACATTATCTCATTAGAGCCTTACCTCCTGCTTCGGCAGCCGTGAATCCGCCAGTAACTCAGGTCTCAATCCAGCTGCGTAGGGGTATTTACAGCGTTGCGTGAGGCGAAAGTTTGATTTAGTAGGCTACGGAATAACAGGAGCTTCCCCTGATGTTTCGCTGTCAGCTCAGCAGGACTCATAACTAAGAAATAGGTGAAGATTTTTTTCGGTTAGAAGCGTAACAGGACTGGAACCAGAGTTAGACGTGCAATAGCTGACTGGCCTCCACCCCCGCAATGTTTCTCTTGTAAGAAGAGTTGAGAAGATTTGCTGAGGCCAAGGTGGTTTTCTTGTCTGCTGCTGAACACAGCTTTGATCACATCTAATCATTAAGGGCTTATACGAGGCGCGAGCAGCCAGTCCTAGATCTACAAATTTCCATTGCATTTTCAGTTTAAGGATAGATGTTCTCGTGGTCAGGATATTAGACTGCCAGTAAGAGGACCTGGGCTTCGTCCCTGGAAGTGCCACAAAAACGTGACCCTCTAACTACCCCCAAAACCAGATAACTCTACAGCTTTTCCTTATCTCAAACAGAGCGATATCATTCTGTGTTTGGAGGGTACCTACATCCTACAAACACGATGGCTCTCACCATTTCTGTAAATAGGGATCTATTTACAGAAAATCTATTAATGAGATCGCTTGCACGTGCCCACTTTGCAGAAACGTGGGAAGTTCTGTCGACAAAATATATTTCGATTCCATATTTTTTTATGAAGGCAGATTTGACAGGGTAGACTGTTAAAAAGCACATATTCCGACATCTAAATTTTGCATCCTATTGACCTAGTAAGATGATACCAAATGAGATAATCGTTAATGCTCTTGGCTGCCAGGTACCAACTTTCACGCAGTCTTTTATGAATTCCCGTAAAATGTATCGCGGTAGCTCGAACACCATAAAGAAGAAAAATGACTTCTGTGAATTATCCCCAATCTGTAACCCACGATATGCATAAGACTCCTTTTTCACGTTCGAAATACCTGGGTGTTCTCCACACGGCTAATTATTCTGGTTTCTTGCATTTCCAGGTTTTGGTTCATTTCTTTGTTTTTTTTCTTTTATACGCTCAGTTTTGTTACGGGTTCACGTAAATGAGCTTGAGTCATTCCGTGTTCTTCCTGTTCCACTCCGGGTTTCAGAGAAAGCGAGGATCCTTGTAACGGACGCTCATGATGAGAGCCCGGAGTTCATCAATACACCTTACATAGTCCGAGTTCCAGAGGTTGGTGAAGATTTCTTTGCGTACTGCTTTCGGTAGACTGTAAAGAGGAGCCGGTTTGTTTTTAGTAAAGTCACAAGATAGGTAGGACTAACGCGCATTCTTTTGTTGCGGTGTATGGCCTTAAGGCATGCTACTCCAGGTCCGTTCCGCAAATGTGATCAATGTGATTTTAGAATCGGTTTCCGTGGAAATAGGGTACGCTCTATTTTAGCAGATTTCCCATCCCGTTTATTCTAGAAAGCTTTACTTCCTCGTTCTGCTCCGGTTTCCTCCGTTTTTACTCTCTCGCCTGTTTGGTTCCCTCTTTCACGTACGTTCTTTCTACCAGCACTCCCTCTCTCTGCCTCCTTACACACACAGTTTTCACTTCTTGTAGTTTGCTGGTTTGCCGCTTCTGTCTGATCGTTGTACCGCTTTCTGTTACAGAACTCTCCCTCCGGCAGCAGTACCTTTAAGATCACGGCACTTGACAGAGAGACTGGTTCCAGAGGAACTATCACCTACTTCTTGCAGGTAAAGTATTATCCGTACTTTCGAGACTCATCTCTCATTTAAGATTCAGACGATGGAGCTGCTACTAGCATCTATAGGGCCAATTCTGTAGCACGCACAAGAAAACAAGCTTTGGCCAAAAGTTATCGCCTGCCAGCACGCAGCCACGCACAGCCTGGCAGGCAGACGTCGGAACAGGGCTCGCCGCCGTCACTCTTACACGTCACAGCACAGCTCCTGTTGGCCCCCTCTTTGGGCGGACAGGAGAGCGAGTCTAACTCGTAACCCTGTGCGCAGGTGGGATATCAAAAGCACGATATAGCTTCCTTCGGAAGGGAATGCGCACGGAATCCCTGTCTGTTGTTGGATGCAGCAGGCCGGTGCAAAATTGAAACCCGTATCGCAGTATAGAGCGCTACGTCTTCTTTCCGACAAAGCTGGAGCCCACTTGCAACCAGCCTTGCCGGTGTCACCCTCTGGGGAAGAACAGAAAGGCTTCCATATTTGAAGCTGGACAGACATTCGCATGCCAAAAGGGCAACTTGTTACGCGATGCCCTTGAAATTCATTATTTCCGTGACCATTTCCCTCCAGATGAGCTGTAGTTCCCCTTATTCTAAAGGCCGCGGAATACAGAACAACACGCAGCTATTTGTTGCGCTATGTGCCTTAGATACTGCATGGAGACAAGTTGGAATATATTTACATAGCATTAAAGATAATCCTGTTAAGAGCTCGGGCATACTGAGAAAGAGCACCTTGTTGAAATTCAGTTTTGATTTCACCAATTACGAACCAGTTAAAATTCAGTACATGCGGGATTCAGTTTTGCACGGGGCTTTTTCCAATAAGCCATTAGACTCCGAAGACAGGAACAGCTATTTTGAGCTCCCAGGTCTAGCTAAAATATTTGCGTGACGCAAAGATTACTAAATCATTTTATTTATCGAAAGAATGCCGCCGCATCCTTTGGCGCAATTCTTAGTTTGCTCGGAAAGAGCGCTCTCGTACAAGAGTCCGGTGTGGGCAGGTAGTGACATCACCGAAAGGACAAAGACTGTGACAGCAACCGTAGCGAACGGAAGCCCAAAGCCGCGCGTTTAGGGACTCTCGCCGTAAGGGGAGGGAGACATTTTCAGGCCCTTTTGAAAATCAGATGTCTTTTGGGTGTCTATTCACCACGGAAAAGATTTTGAAAACCCACACTGAAGGTAACCGATTTGTTCTGAATAACTAAAGGCTCGTGGCTGGTTCATGATTTGTTAATAAACACGCAGAGGTGAAATTCATCAGATACATTACTCACCCAAACCTTATCATTATTTTAGTCTTGTCTTTTAGCAGATGAAATACGAGATTAATCCCTACAGCATTTTTTTTTTTTTTCTTTTTTTTACATACCTGTAATCTTCTGCCACGTCTCCTTTCCTTTTGCTCTAGCACATCCGTGTTTACAGTAGATCATCACAGCGGCGTCCCACGCATCAAATCAGGGGTCACCCTGGACTACGAGAAGTCAAGAACGCACTTTGTTGTCGTGGTAGCCAAGGTACAAAGCTTTCTTCTGCAACTGGTAGTGTTGAAGGATTGCATTTGAGTAGGGCAACTTAGGTCCAAGAGAAGCGTGATTTAAAGGGTCGTTGAAATAAGACGTTAGACACTGAGACAGCAGAGTCACTCTCCTCTGCCACGTCCGAAGGAACGGAGAGCACCGTGGAGAGGTGAGGCAGAAAACCGGCCAATGCCTGCGGCCGATCAACATCCGGGGGCAGATTCCCCACGCTGAGCTCAGTCTCTAGCGCCGGGGCAGCGAGCTCCTTTGCAGAAAGTCACCCGTACGTATTGAGATTCGCTGAGAAGCGAGCATCGGTGTACGCAGGCCCGGCTTTGGGACGCGTCATTCCCTGTGCTTTCACTTCCGCCACGTAAGATCCCCTGGGAGACTTCGATCACACTCACCTATTTGATTTTCCACTGAAATTGCACGCATGCTTCAGCAGAGTGAAATCCCCTGAAAATTCACTACTTTGCTACTGTTGTCTTGGTTTCACGGCAGGGTTTTATAGTCTGCTATCTTTTTCCGTCTGTTTATCGTTTCCTTCTATTCCAAAAAAAAAAAAAAAGAACCAACAACACGAAGAAAAACTTTCCATTCGCATGACCGCATATATTAGCGCAACTACTTTAACAGAAAAAATATTGCTTCTGAGATCGCACGAGGCGTCTGCTCAATCTGAGAGGAAATAGAACAGATGGAAAAGAAAAGGGAATAGCGCAGCAGAGACGAGCGCGCAGTGAAGGCTTACGCGGAGCGTACGATGCCATAAAGGGCTTTGCCTGCGTGCTTCAGCAGAGGGATCTGACAGCGTCTTCTCTTTTAGGACGGCGGCGGGAAGCTGAGGGGAAAAGACGAATCGTTCTCAGCCACAACAAGACTTACCGTCAACGTGGAGGATGTTCGGGACGCTCCTCCCCCATTCATAGCGACTCCCTACTACGGATACGTCTACGAGGATACGCTTGCGGTAAGTGCTGGTTTTGACCCACAGAAGTGCAGTCTTTCACGTCTCGGCAAAGGTAAACGCACGCTTTGAATCGCTGCGCTATCCTCTCGATATCTCGTCGGGGCCGAGGCGATCGTGGCGTCCGCGTAGCGCAGGGTACTTTCTGCTAGGCTAGGCGGGAGGTTCAGAATGCATGGTACGTAGACTTATTCTGAGTAGTTAAACGCAGATCTTGAAATAACTATCAGGTGTCCAAAGAAGTTGCATCTAGCGTGGAAACAAGAGTAACGAAACGTTATTTACATCCAGCCTGAGCTCATAGCTTAAGCACAGGTATGATATCATAACTACGTAAGCACCAACGAGTCCTTCAAAGCGCGAGATGGGCCATTAGAATTCACTTCACAGAGAGAGGCGCAACAAAAGAATCGAGCGTTGTTTTCATTTTCTTCTCGAATTACGTAAACTTGCCTTTCTCCTTCACGGAGTTGGCAGGATTAACTAGTCCCGTGTCATTTTCAAAGGGACCGCGCCGTATTTCACCCCGTCGGCAAGTTTTATTGCAGTTTCCTGCACAAATGGTAGTAAATACTATTTTCTATTTGTCATCGCTCTAACAGAACTTTGCTCTCATTTGAAAAATTCACTCGAGGGATGACCGAATGAAAGGAACGAAAACATTTCCAATGCTATTTGCGTTTAACCGACAGTTTCTTTGGGTTTTCTTCTTTTAGCCGTCCCAAGCAATAACACTTCAAATCAGACACCTGAACTACGCAACTCACAGCAACTCGGGGGAGCCCTTCAAAGCTAACAGCCGTCATCCTTTTCAGTCGATAGGAACAACGGAATAAATCAACGGTTTCCAGAACGCGTCCGTACCTACGGCCCGTGGACATTTTACTGACGCAGAAAGACAGCGAAGGCTTTGCGGATGCTTAAATCATCATCATCTTCATCGCTATTTTATGCCGTACGGGTTCACCGAGGCAAGTTGCTTTGCGACCCGCAGCTCGTCCTCGCTGCCCGTCGTCGCACTCGTCGGAGACGGAGGAAAGCCGAACAGCCTAACTTCAAACATTTTGCAGTTACTGCAGATATTAGCCAAACGGGATGCTATCAAAAGTTTTAAAAATAAGCATTGGAATTGAGTTAAGTAAAAGCAACGGGGCTTTCAGATGATCATCCTAATTTCTAAAAACCTCAGGTTTCTTCATTTTAAGAAGCCTTTCTGTCGCCTCCTCTCAGCGGTAGGTTCCGCAACCGAGCAAAACCCGCGGCCAATCCTACGGGCGAGACCGCACGCAGGGGCGCGTACGGCAGGACACATCCCCGGCTGCCGGCCGGCCGTCTCCTCCCCGAGCAGGGCAAATTCATCAGCTGTGAAGGGATCACAGCCCCGTAACTGGTCATCCGTTCGGTAAGACGAAGTTATACCGCAGGGATCCAAGTCAGCCTGCAGCCCCGTCCTGCCTGCGGAGCCGTCTCAACCTCCGGGACAAAGCCTGGCCTATACCCTACATTCTCCCGAACCCCTTTACACGCAGGCCAGCCTCGCAAGAAGATGAGCGCTTTTGAACCGACCGAATGTTTAAAACCAGAAGATGCTTCTTCTAAGATGCTCTTCACAGAAAGAGCGACTGTGATTCTTTAGGATAAATTGTCAAACTTCTCACCTTAACTGATATTAGCGAGAGCAACTTTCTTGTTGCTCAGAAACTTAATTGTGTATGCATTTGCTAATTAAAATCTTTTTTTTTTTTTTTAAATCTAAACCAGCACATAAAGACAATAGCGTAACAGAAAGGAATACCAAACGCGCATCCCCGGTCGCTGAGGCTCAAGGGGAACCTCGCCGACACCGGAGAGAGAGGGCAGCCGCCTGCAGGGTCAGAGCTCTGCCTAGCTCCTCCCACTGCGGAAGCCGTCGCCGGCCCTCAGCCGTGCTTTCAGCACACCATAACCAGGCATAGAAATGCTTCACTTCTCAAAAATAACCACCGATCTACCGATCGAGTAGATACGCATACAGACAGATACACTTAATGAAGCATACATTTAGTATACCACGCCAGTTCGAGAAACGGGAAGAATGGCACTTAACCAGACTATTTTTTTTTTTTTATTACAGAAGGCAAAGGTTCATTTGAAATAGGCAACGCCACCGGAGCAATTTCCGCTATAAGAAGTCTAAAACGGCTCAAGAAGGAAGCGCGTGAATTAAGAGTTCAGGTATGTACCGAGGGCCCTGGCTGCGCTCGGCTTACCCCGCTACCGCCCCTTCCCGGCAGAACCCTCCCGGGGAAATTTCCTGTTGGTCGTCCGTCTTCCTTACGTCGCTGTGACCGGAGGCATCGCAATCCATACCGCGATACATAGGGGAACACAGCGATACGTATAGAAATAATTTACAAAACCCCCCTAACGCCTAGGCTAATTTATACCGCTCCTTGGCTGCTGCCGTCAGCTCTAACCACATCTACTGCGAGACAAGGATCTTTCTTTCCGTCCTCAGAAATAGAGGCAACTATCTTGCGGGGAAATTTCATCATACTTTTCCATTGCAGAACTTTAATACAAAACCAGCGAACATACTAGCTTTTCATAGGGGAAAAACAAGCGCGGTAAGGAATTTCATTGGGCACCGCCTAACGTCCGGTACGCTTTAAATAATCGAGCAGTTACTCTTCAGCAGGGTGTAGCAGACAGGCGCTTGCGTTTCCGAGCCCTCAGAGCGCAAACGCGCCAGTTAGGGGCGCGTTTCGTTACGACAGAGAACAAATCAATCAGAGAACAAATCTGTTATCTAGCTCTTTCAAATTTCTGCCCTCCTCCATACGGCAAAGTACAGCTTCTCTCTCAAAATTTCTCAACCGCTGCCCTTCCAGAACAGCAGCAATCAAACGCCTACCGTACCGTAACAGTAGGAAAGAATAGCGCAGCGAAAAGGCAATGCAGGAGTGGAACAGCAAAAGGACAAACAGGAAAGCGAGGCTCACCCATCTCAGAATCTTGGCTCACAGGGAAAAACTCCAGAAGGAAAGCAGAGATCTTTCTCCATCAGCAGTCAGCCCTTAAATGCCAGCTCGGGGAGTTGCAGCCAGGCTCCGCCCCTTCCCATCACGCAGCTGAATTGCCTTCACCTGCGCTCCCGGGGCCCACCGAGTCCTTTCCCCAGGTGATCAATCAGTGCTTCGGGCCGCGACTCCATTGTTACCGTACAGATACCTAGCAAACGTCACTTAAATTTTCCATTTTAATTTCATCAACACTTTGGGCAAGCCATTATCTCGTTCGTATCAAATTAGGTGTTTAGAGGACTGTTTTTACCTCGGGTGAAATACAAAGCTCACAAAACAACGTTTTTCCCGGCAGAGCTCGGTCGGGCCTGGATCGTTACCGCGCTTTCTAATCATCGTGAAGTCTGGCGCAAAGCAGACCGAGATTTCTACGGAAACACATTTCTACGTCGCAGCCACAGACATCGCCGCCAAGGAAAAGAGGTCTTACCTTTAAAACAGCTACGTAGTTGGAAGAGACCTCCGATGAGCAAAGCCCTTCCTTCCGCTGCCAGCCCTTAAATGAGGTTTGGGAAGGGGCGGATCCTGGCTCCAGCCATTCGGGTCACTCACCTCCATCGCACGCACCTGGGCTGGCCCCGCCTTCGCACCTGGTTTTCTATTGACAGTCGAGGCCCCGATTTAGCGTTTCCGCTACAGGACAATACTGTTTTAAGTATCAGAAAGCAACGTTTTTCCTCCTATAAAGACTTACGTCTCCATGACAGCCATCGATGTCTCCCCGTTCAAAAGTCGTTATTAGAAATTCTTCCCCCCGAGGTCGATCGCGGGGGCACAACGCGGCACCAGCCGGGCAGGAAACGCGGCTCGTCGCCCCGGTGCACTCATTTTTCCGCCGGAGAAAGCGCCGATGTCGGAAACGTAGTTCGGCGGGCTCCCTCGTAAGGCGGAGACACGGGAATCCCGCTTCAATTTCTCTGCCTCGTGACCGTGGAAGGATCACGTAGCTAAGCTTCTTTCCCCGGGGATGGAGAAAGAGGGCTCTCGGCAGTAAGATCGCTTCTAATTTCATACGGCTCGAAGAAAGAGAGTCGCGTAAACCGTAAGAAACGCATCGTTCGCCAAAAGCCGCACAGTCTCTGCTTTTCTTCACAGGGAGCCAACGCTAAATTCAACGTACGTCTCGTCGAACCCACGGCGTCTTCCGAGCCGTTCCCCAGATGGTCCCGAACGAGGCTCAGATTACGGTAGCGGTGGAAAAGTCTGTCATTATTTTCCACCGCAAAATTGAAGGCGTTAACCTTCGAGGCACTTGCGCTTTCTCGACCCTCTCCGCTCGCGCGTCCGATAGGCGTTTCGCGGCTGATCAATCCGATGAGTTTGTCTCCTCCGTTCACGCGGAGCGTTGTCACCGACCGTGTATTCCGTAGAAAGGAAACTCATTTCCCTCCGCGTTTCATCGACTTCCAAAAGGGCTGAACGGATCCGCCTACGGGATAATTTTTTCCGGGCGGTACGAGCTGCAGAGTATGAAGTATCGGCGGAAATTGCATATAATCCAAGTCGTTCCAGATTGAACTCCGAGGCCGTTCTTTCTGCTTTTATAGCGCCAGGTTCACATTCTAAATTTTCCGGAGCCGGGAATTCTCCTTAGTCGGAAGTAAGTTCGGTTCGTTATCTTACTTGAAAGGACGGCCGGCCGAAGACCCCACCCGACCGGAAGATAATTTCCCGGAATCGCTCGCTGCCTTTGTCCGAACGTATCTGTCTGCGTGACCCTTGGCAGACCGATCCGGGTCCGTCTCGCGGTCCTTTTCGACGCAGGGTACCCTATGATTACGCGATCGTTTTTATCAATCGCGCCCAGATCGAAACGTCGTGAGAAAGCGCTCGTTTTACTCGTTTAGAACGGCGGCGTATAGCCGTCTCTAAAACACGGTCTTTGCAATCGAGGTAAGCCACTGTGAAACAGTCTCGTATTTCTTATATGAAATTGCGTGTGTTTTCACGAGATAGTTTAGATATGTTGCCGCGGGCAACAGCCGTCACGAACGTTCCACGCCTGCTTTTCTTCCAACATTTACTCGTACTCAGAGGGACCGTTTTCTAGTCACGCTCGGCACGCGACCGCGTTCGGGGCAGGGATAGCCAGCGCACGGCGGGGGCCTCGGGAAACGGTTAAGGCCGGGGACGTTGTTCGGAAGGGCGACACGCGAAGAGATCCGTTTGAATCGGGCGCAGTTATTTGAGTTATTAACGAATCCCCGCCGAGGCGCAAAGGGGAAGCGCGTCACAAACCGTAGCGAAGCGCGGTTTCGGTCCCTCGTTCGGATCTAGAGTCTACGCGTCTAACCGTCGGGGTCCCCGGGCGGCCCGAGCGAGCCCCCCCCGCGCTAACGAGACAACGACCGTCAGGCGCGGCGGCGCCGCGGCCGGCCGGGCACAGGTGCGCCTCGTCGGCGTGCCGGGGCGGGGCCGCCCCGACGCCTCTTAAGCTCCGCCGGAGGCCGCGGGGAGCCACGAGAGAGCTTTCGGGATTCGCTGCGTGCAGGAGCGGTCTCCGTTCCTTCCTCCGGTACGTCCTCGCGTTGCTGAGGTTAAGTAGCGGTACAAGGGGTGCTTTTAACGGGAGAGCTCGGTATTCTACCCGATTTCGTTTGCGCGTCGTTTCGTTTCAGGCTGCGGTGGGATTCCTCGCAGTGAGCCGTTCTGGTCGCGAGGGACCGCGCTAAGAGGTAAGCGCTCGGGAGCTATTCGGGGCCGGCGCGGGGCTCTCGCCGGGCCACCCCGGTTTCTCGGAGCCGGCGCGGGGTCTCCGCCGGCGCGGTTTAGGAGCGTGCCGCCGCTCCTTTCCTCGAGCCCTAGCGCGGCTACGGGGTCGTCTCTGCCCCCAGAACTTTTTAGCGGGCGTCTCGGTTCGTCCCGTTCTCGTTCTTGACGTTCTCGTCAGCGGGAACGAACCGGACGGGGACTTATTTCCGCAGCCTCCGCGGTGCCGGGAGTCGGAAGCGACGCCGAGGACCGTGAAATGGAAGCTTTCTCCGATTCCGCAGGCCGCGCGGGGGGTCCCGGCGGAGCCCGTTCGGCCCGAACGGGCGCGACGGCGGAAGCGGCGAGCGTTTCGGAGCCGCCGGGCGCTGAGATCGGTCTCGTCGGAACTCGCGTCGGAGAGCCGCTCAACCGCCTCCGTTTTTTCGCGATCCGGCCGAGAGCGAGCGTGATCCCGGGGCCGCCTCGGACCCCGGGAGGGTTTCGCGGGCGCTTCGGCCCCTGCCGCTCGCCGCGGCGGAGCCCGTATTTCCTCCCTCCTTCGTTTGCGTAACTTCAGACGCGTCGTCTCGCTTCTATCGCGGAGACGCGGCGGGACGGCTTTCGAAACCGGTTCGCTGTTTCGGACGACGCGTTGCCTTCTGTAGAAAGGGAGACCGGCGACTCGGCGGGAGAGAGGCGGCGGCAGAGCGACGAGAGAATGGGGAGCGCCGGGGGAAGAAGGCTCGAGTGGTAGGTGAGCGCGGACAACGTTATCGGGGGAGTTTTTGACGGAGCGGGATGAAGGAGACCGAGGCGTTTGCGCCCAGCCGAAAGTAAGATCACAGCTGTAAGCATCGGTTCTCGTAGCGGATCCGAACCGCTCCGGCGCGCGTTAGGGAAGAGCGCGTTCTCGTTGCGGGAAGTTCCAGCGAAGCGTCGAGGGTAATTTCAGACGCAGAAAACGGAGGGCGGCTGCCTGAGCTCGTCGTCTTTACCGAGGAACGGCCGGTCGGGGACCGAAGGACCACGGGGAGATCGGCGGCCGTCGGACGGAAGAGTCGAGGACGCGCCGGCCCTCGCTAGGGAGTTGGCGGTAGCGGTTTTAAAAGTGCCGTAACGTATTATTTACCGTCTTTTCTATAGGCAAGGGGCCGGAGGACGGCCGTCATCGCCGAGGCGTTCAGAAAGGGCGAGGAGGACGGCTCGCACGACTACGGGGAACAGCCTTTTCGAGACGTCGTCCGCGAGCGAGAGGAAGTGAAGGGATTTCTAAGGAGCAGCGTTCTACCGGGTAGCTTTTTCCGTCGTTGGGAGCGCGAGCGGTTAGGGGAGGGGGGGGGACGTGCGCGTCGCGGGGGAATATCGGCGCTGCTTTTCGCTACGTTAAGCGGCGGAGTCTAGGGGACGGGGCCGGGCGCGTTCGGCGAGAGCGGGAGTTGTACGAAATGAGAAGGAAGAGGGTTTTCCCTGACCGTACAGGTTGCGGAGTTTCGTTCTGTAGGGATACAAGTCGGGTCCAGAGGGTTTTGAGGACGAGGCGTGTTACCAAGATTTTCTAAGCAACGGAGTGGAACGGGAACGCTCCGTCGCGGGACGCCGGGACCCTATTCGGGAGCAGCCGGCCCCGGAACCGGAGGTTCGACCCGCGCAAGGGGTTTAAGGATCTTTCGGCCAGGTTCGGGGCTGGAGAGCGGATTCCGACGGCGACGCGGCGGAGTTGCCGCGGAGCGAGGCGAGATGTGCTTTTTTTTTGCCCGAGCGTCTAACTCTTTATGTTTGAGGGTGACGGTGTTTTCACTTTCGGCCTCGAAGGCGCGCGGCAGGTCGCGCCTCCGGACGGTGAGAAGCACTGCCCGGGCGTCGTGCGGTCTTGGGGTTTGCGTTCCATAGCCTTTTTTTTTTCCTTAGGCTTGTTTGCAGCCGATGTCTCCGTCTGGGCTTTGCTGAAAGCTGCGCTTGGAGAAGAAGAGGAGGAGCCCTACTGGGTAGGTGGCATTTGTGTCGCTTGCACCCTCGGGCTCTTTTGAGGTGCTTGTTCGGTTCTGTGCCTCTGGGTGGTGACGAGTACTGCCTGGGTGTCGTGCGGTTTGTGTTGCAGGGCTTGGTGTTCCATAGCTGTTTTTTTTTCCCTTAAGCTTGTTTGCAGCAGATGTGTCTGCCTGGGCTTTGCTGAAAGCTGTGCTTGGAGAAGAAGCCCTACCGGGTAGGTGGTGTATCTTTGTGCGGGATGGAGGTTTAGAGGTTTTTGGAGTTGTTGATGTGAGAGCTTGGTCTGCTTTTGTTTAGAGTTAGGTGTTTGTGCTTGGCCTTCAACTGTGGGGGAGACGGGCAGGAGCAGCTCACGCTCTGTGCGCTGCTCCTGCCCATCTCCCCTTTGGTATGGGGTTGCTGACCTATCTCAAAGAGATTATTTTTTTTGGGTGGTGGGCTGAGGCAGGTCAGTAATGGAAATTATTCTTTCTGGCTGCAGGGCGGCAGCTCCCCCTGAGGGGAGGGGGGGGGGAGCCCCTTTGGGGCGGCGGCTCCCCCTGAGGGGAGGGGGGGGGAGCCCCTTTGGGGCTCTCGGGCTGTAACAGAGGAGATCAAGTGCGGAAGAGCTGGGTTCTCCTTTCTGTGGAAAGAGGAAGATAGGTTTAATTCAAATCTCAGGTAAAACATTAGGAATTCTATCTCTGATGTAAGAGGTTGCTTGCTCTGCGTAGTTGTTTACTGTGCCCTGGAGAGTAGAGGAGGGTTGCATTCTTAAAGCATTTGAATACGTGTCTGGAGATGAAGCGTGCCTGCAGTGCGTGCCTGAGTGTACATCTCCCGGATGCCAAGGATGGTTTCTGGAATCAACCTGAATAGAATGGGATGTTTGGGAAGAAAGGAAGTTGCTGCTTTGCTCTGAGTTCTGCCAGTTGTTCCTGGAAAACAAGTCAAGCTCACAGGAAAGTGAAGACTTCTGAAAGCGCCTCTTTTGAAAAGTCATAGCCAATGCTTAGTTACGTCTAAGTTCTATGCTTTTTTTAAATATAAAACATCTGTTTGAGTAAAATGTTATAGATTTTAGGTATTTAAGAGCACACCCCCCGAGGGGTCAATCGAATCTGCGTTCACCTTGAACGCTTGTAAACTTAAGTACTGAAAAAACTAGGACTCCCTTTTTAAGAGATGTCTTTTGCTTTATCATATTTCTGTAGCAAAACTGTAGAGGAGAACATCTAGGTGTAACTCTGTTCTTCTCATTTTGCTGTGTGTCCCTGTAATATTGCTGAGCTTGCTTCTGTGGGGTGAGAGGTTGGCGATGCGTCTGTTTTACCGAGAAATTATTTGCTTGAAACAGTCTTTCCAAAAAGCTGTTGCTAATGAAGGTGCAAGCGTTCTGCGTCGTATGTGACAGCTGCCTGTGACGCTTAAGAGCGTCTGCTCTTAAATGGAATGGCTAGGCTTAGCTAGCTGTAGTTTTTGCGCTGAGGCGGATGCCGGTCTCTGACTTAAACAAAAAAGTAAATCCTTGCTTACTGCATAAAAAGGACATGCTGGCTCTTTCTGCACTGGAGCCTTATTCCCTCGCTGCTGATGTCAGGTTATTTAACTTGGAGAAAAGCGACCCCTCGTGCAATTGGCTGCTTCTGACACAATTTGCAGAAGAAGTTAAGCGAGACGTGTATTGATAACGCTTCGTGTATTGATAAAGCTTCAAGTTATCTACCGTTAAAGTATGACACGTCAGGCTCGTCTTATTCAACGAATGGAATTGCTGAGTACCTCAGCGGTGTTTGTATCGTTGCGGCTGAATTTGTGCACGGAGCTATTTCTTAAAATTCAGCAGAGCTTCCTGAGCTGGAAGGGGGGTGCGCTGTCCTGAGGGCAGAGCTGCGGTGACTGTCTAGCAAAAGAAAAGGGCTGCTCTCATTTAAGAAAAAAAGGAGGGGGGTTGCTGAAAACCTTCTCCGGTTACTCTCAGTTCGACTCTTGCTAATGCTTCTCATTGAAACCCTTTGTCTCAAATCTTGTTAAGTTAGTTCCTGTGAACCCTTGTTCCAAACTGAGACTGAGCTCTAATATGAAATTATGTTGTGCCGTGTCTTTCTTTTTAGCAAAACAAATAGAACTTCAACCCCATTCTGCCTTAGCGTCACGTGTTTGTGCGCAAAAAGTTTAGGCAGCAGTCTGCAATTATTCCTTGGCTTTGCCGCAATGCACGGCAGCTCTCGCCATATCCTATTTCTATGCTCGCGTGTGGTAATCTTGTCTGTATTCATCTCCCTTCCGCATCAACTCGCCAAGCCGAGAAGATAAAACACTGCCCCCAGATCCACGCAAAGAACATCAAGATAAAGGGTTTTATTACTTTTTGGAAAATAAATAAAAACAAACCCTACCGGGACAATAGGAAGGAGGTCATCTATACTTCTTTATCGAGTATAACCAGCTCAGCAGTTTGTAGGTTCCTAAGTATTCAACGTGTCAAGATCCAGCGGTAGAAGTACAGAAACACAGGATTAAAGACAAAGGCTTCAAGTATCATCTTAGCAACAGAGCCAGCACCGTGAGATGACGTTACAAAATAAATAACACTCACCCATCTCCAAAAATCAGAGGGATCTCTGGCAAAAGATCCTTCCTCAGTGGCAGACAGCCCTTAAGTAAGGTCTGTGAGGGTGGAGCCTGGTTCCACCCCTTCCCTTTAATCAGGTGAATCACCTCCACCTGCACTCCTGAGACTGACCTCAACTCCTTTGCCAGGTGCTCGATCAGTGGTTCGGGCCCTGAATCTGCAATTCCCTTACGGTCTCTTAAATCCAACTGCTTGTAGTATAGCCTATTTAGACTACCTACACGGGCTTTGGAGAAGTCAGAACGAACCTGTTTGCAGAGGAAAGCGGAATCGCTTATCCTTTTCAAATCCTTTCCGGGGATACGGGTACCCGCAAACTTCCCGTGCCTAGCGAAAGCCCACGAGAACGGGTCCGACAAATTCCGAGGACTAAAACCGAGCTCGCCTGTCGAAACCACCGGGAAATATGGCCGGCGAGACAGTCAGGCTGACAGGCTTTCTTACTGTTCTGTTTCTAAGGGTAGTCTTACCAAGTAAGACGATAAAACAATAATGCGCAAGGCTAAAGCCATCGTCAGACTCGCCGAAGCCTCTTCTCAATTATTTATGCAGAGATAGGAGATCAAATCTGAGATTTCTCTTAGAAAAGACACGGGAAGAATTTGCTTGGATCCCAGATGGGGCAATTGCCTACTTCTTAAAAGACATTCCATTGCCGTATCCTCAGAAACTAACCCGTTTCCGACCCATCCGATAAACAGATGTAAGTTAGCAATGGTAACGCTCCAAGTATTTCACATATTTACTAGAAAAAACGAGGAAAATACCCTTTCTCAGCACCCCAAGTCATTAACCCCGCAGTACATTCTCTGCTCAGAAAAGTCCTAGACTAAAAAACGCACTTGGTCATACGGGTTTTCCATTTATATATAAACGTTCGTATCGGCGAGAGACAGAAAACCGAACAGACCGGCTTCCCAGCCGGAGGACGGGAAGACGAAACACCGTTGCAGTATTTTCTCGCATTTTGGATGTCTTTCTTCAGTGCCGAGCGGCATTTTGTGACGGTTAACAATTATTACGGACACGACCCATTTTAATCACCCGAAGGACCAGGCGATTCTGTTCTTTGGTCTGAGGGCTTATACTTGTAGTGAAAATGTGTTAAAAAACCTGTGCCGAAAGTAAGTTTGGACTTTTGCGCGGGGTTTAACGGTCGCAGAAAACTCCGTATCTGAATTGGAAACGAGGAAAGAAGCAGCACGCGGTTCTGGAAGTCGGAGCCTCGGCTAATAAGCCGACAGAGATTAACGGAGACTAAACTGTCAGTAAGGGTACGGCCCTCGTTCGGACCGCTGACTTATCCATTGTCACATTGAGTGACTTATCCATTAACTTATTATATGCGGCGTTTCAATTTTTGCTTGCAGATAAACTACTGAGAACAAAGATGGCAAAGGAGTTGATTTTGTGAAATGTGTGGGGCTTTTTTTTTTTTTTTTTTAGGACTAACGGAGTTGTTTTTCAGAAACATCCGCTACTTGTATTTTCAAAAAAGTAGAAATGGCAGAAACTTATCGTGCGTTAAGAGGGAGCATTCATTCAACAGTACTTTAAAATTGGGAAATACTAAATAAGCGGTAAAATAGTTGACTGTAACCAGGAAAAAGAACCAAAGGGACTCATTTGGACCCTGAACTTTGCGAACAAGAGGAAAAAATGATAAACAAAGCAATGATGTTTTAATACGCTGAGGAGAATAGCTGAAACAAATGATAATTACTGCATGTTTTAGATGTGCTGCCAGGTGGACGAGGTAAAGGTGTGCGTTTATCAGCATTATTGCTCTTGGGTTTAATTGTCGTAGCATTTTTAAGCAGCTGTTTCAGAAGACGTGCGCAAATTTTGCTATTGTTTGCGTGGTTGTCTAGCTCTAACTCGGGAATAAAATGCCGTTTTCCTCATCTGCTAGCAAATAATCTCTCTTTCTTGAAATCCGATGTAGTCTGTTTCACAGCTCCTGCTGTATCTGCACTTAACTCCAAATTCCTTCACGTCGGTAATAAACTTTCCGGACAGTGGAAAGATATTTTGCTGACAGTACGTTTCCAGGTTCCAATTGATATCACTTTTTTTTTTTTTTTTTGGGGGGGGG